TAGGCGCCGAGAAGGCGCTCCGCGAGGTACGGAGCTGCTCACTTTGTGGCAGCCCGGCGCTGCGCTTGGGCCTTTGCCATGCCGTACTTGTACCTCAGCAAGGGGGACACAGACCACACCAGGTCTAGTGGAGAAAAGAGGCACTTTCGCCAGGCTAAGTTGAAAAGAAGATGAGTTTAACCAGGCTCAGTTTTTCCAAGAAGAGACTTCTTGGAACGCAACACCAAGCAAATTGTCACACAGTCTTCTCTGTTTCGCTTCGCTGGATTCACAAGCATCTGTGTGTGTGCTATGAGATGATAGGTTGGGGCTGCATGGAAAAGCACGGCCCTCTCCGAGAGGATGAGGGGAACCAAGTTGGCCAAACGGCCAAACGGAGCTTGCGCTGCCTGCCTGAATTGCCTTTGAAATCCGGTGCTCCGGCACGGAAACTCTATTGCCCTGGGGCCAGGGCAAAACAATGGGGGTTCGTATAACCACCATTGTTTACGGATTGTCATCATCCAAATTGGGTCAACCATTCTTCTGGGGATTGAACCCCATGAAGTATTCGAGCACCGCATCAGCACGAGCACCCCATGAGCACAGGCAGCTGCCAAGGCCCGCTTCTCCGCGTCATTTGCGCTTTGGCTGGTTGCCACCTCGCAACTCACCATCCATTAGTGGCGCGCCATACGCCTTGTGCGCTTGTCGCGCAGTTTGCAGAGTCTTTGCGCCAAAAAAAACGGCTTGCAACAATTCGAAGGATTTGTCTTTCGAGGCCTTGCAGCGTCAAGTTGGGGATGACTCGAGCAAAAGAGCCTTTGGCCTTGAGCACGATTTACTCTATTCCCAAAGGTACAGTGACAGCTGGAGAAGTGCAAGGCGAAAGAAAAGCAGCACGCTTCTGTGCAGCCCCAACTACCAAGTTTGCCCGCACCCAGTCCCCACCTTGCAAGGCGAAATTCTTTCTCAAAATGGGCCCAATTGGGGCTGGTTTTAGTGGGCTTCCCAAAAGGAAACAACCCATGTTCCCCCATTTTGAGCCGGCTAAACGCCCAACGGGGCTGTCTGCAATGAGGAACCCCCTAAGCTTAGTCTCCTGGTGAATCCCTTGGAAACTAAGGTGCGGTTGCTCCCCAAAACCGCTTTCGCCTGGGCGACTTTTGTCCCGCTCCAAAATACCCTCCCACATGGAACCTGACGTTCGGGAAACGGTCTCTTCAAAAGGACAATTGTCTTCCTGAAAGGTCCACTTTCCAGGAACATGGTCCAAACCAGGACCCCTGAACGTCAGGTTCCATGCGCAAAAACTGTGGGAGGGTACTCCTTTTTCGTGCTTCTTTTCTTTTTCTCCAAGGCACACGCCGTGGACCCAAACCACAAAGACGGTGGCGGCCCTGGAAACTCGGCTCACGTTCTCCGCAGTGAGCTCTGGGTGGTGAACCTCAGCTTGGGAGTCGGGAAAGGTACAAGGCGACCCTCCCAATTGACATGGAACCTGATGTTTGGGGGTACCCCCTAGGAACGGTAGCTGGATTTCATCTAACCATGGAAGTTGGTGCAAAAAGGGGACAGGGAAGCCCTGAACTATTCCACCCCTTCGAACCACGTCTCTTGAGTGACTGAACCATTCCAGGTACCCCCTCCAACAAGGGGCCTCTTATTTCATCCGATTCCTGGGCCCCAACCAGGAAGGGCAAATCCAAAAATCGGAGTCGGCGACTGCTTGGTTTTCAGTGCGCCCGTGATCCGGGAACCGTCCAAGACACTCGCTGGATTTTGCTCCGGAAAGCGACCAAACATATGTAGAGACTGCTGAGCCTGGCAATTGACACCGCCAATTGGTATTGACAACCACTGGTCGGTTTCTGTTGGCCGACGACAAAACTGCGGCAGTCTTGGGCCGATGATTATCCTCAGGGTTCAACCCCCATTAAAAGAATGGTTGACCCAATTTGGATGATGGAAATCCTTGTTTGAGTGGTGATTTGAACCCCAGGGTTATAAACGCCTCCTTTCGGCGTGTTTCCTTGGCGAGGTACCCGCAGTCCCTCGATTCTTTCAGCATTCGAAATTTGGGCACCGAAAGGGACGGGACCTGCCCGAAAAAGTGGACTCAACGCAGAAAATCATGTTGACCCCATATTAGTTAACCCCGGTTTATCAATAGGGGGGGTGTTCCTCTCCGAAAGTGATGATTTTCCACTAAAATCAGGGACGCTCCACTATTAATAAGCCGGGGTTGATCAATATGGGGTCAACATAAACGTTGCCTTGGAACACAAATCAGATGAAACAACCAGGAGTCTCCTTCTGACCCTTTGAAAATGGGGGCACCCTGCTTGAAATAATAAGGAGGGTCAGAAGGAGACTCCAAGATCCAAGGAGGGAAGGGACATCTCATCCTGGGCACGTACCACTCCACCTCCATCAGCCGACTCTCCGGAATCTCGTCCTTGTTAAACTCCTTCAGCTCCTTGAGGAAGTCCCAGGGAGGGTTCATCATCTTGGCACAATCCTCCCGAATGGGAGCGAGAGTTCTCAAGTCTGCCTTTTAGGTGGCTTTTGCGAAGCAAAGAAGTGAACTAAATTGACTGCCGAAGTTTGGTGGCTGGGTATCAAGAACCAATGACCAATTCTATGAATCTTAAACAAAAGCAGGGGTGGAACTGGCTGATTTTTGCTCATGACACATCAAGCACCATTGGATTCACCAGAGACTTTTTTTACATGGGTCAGAATAGTCTACTCTTCCCACAACGGAAGTGGGTTCCGGCTTCCCCAAAAGGAAAACTTTCGTCTTGAGCCCCTCTCGTCAGCTTCTGTTGCAAAGAGGGGCCTTACCATGGCCATCCCAGTGATTCCATTCCCTTGTATGTTTGGAACCAGATGGGTTACCAACAATTCTGGTAACCAAGAGTCGGTTCCCGGAACCAGCTGGAGGGGGGGGCGGAACCGTTACCAAGGCTGCTAGATCTTATTTGCAGTGCTGGCTCAACATGCATGGAATCAGGAGATCAGAACTCTGCGATTGCAGTACTATGAACAAGGAAAACCCATGAACTTTCGAACATTAGCGACTGATGCGTCGTGCGCATGCCGAAGCACGGCAACGCCGGGTGACCAACGGTGAGCCCACCCGCCCTGCAGCGCAAGCACTGCACGCATGCAGCAATGCTGATATGCATTTTGCTTTGCATCCGCTGCAGCATTTTCGGACGCCGACCAGTCTCTCATAGCTCGCACTGCCTGGCCGCAGCATGGGCGAGGAAGTTGCCAACGATATGGATTTGGAGCACCTTTGCCTTTTGAAACATGATCCATGTCTGCGCAACCACGTATTTCCAAATCCTATGGCCAGTTTTTCTCAACCAATCAACCAAGGTTGGAATATACCAAGATGGTCCTTGATCACTGGATTCGTGGAATTGGGCTAGCCAAAATCCGCAAGACCGCGGGCTATGACTGTTTGTCAAGTTTGGACTCCAACAGCGAGGAAGCCGTCGAAGAGGCCTTCACCCCACTTTCTATGATGTTGGCCCAGTGGGGCCCGAAGACTCCTGGTGTCGCCAAAATTAGAGTAACAAGGCTGCACAATACCATGCAATTGGGCGGACTTCCTTTGCAATTCAATTGAACTGGCGTTGAGGCTGCATTCATGTGGATGAATGATGAGCATGACCTCTTCCAAGTTGGGGAGAAAAAGAAGACCGTGCAGGCTCGCCGGTGCAAGTTTGCCACGCGCGCGGCGCATGTCAAAGTCTCCTCGTTCTAGCTAGGCAACACATCTTTCTTGGCAGGCATGGGCGGATTTTCACGCGGGTGCTCTCCGAGCACGAGCTGTGTATTGCGTCCGTTTGTGGCGGAAGACCCCGCAGCGCTCCAAGCCACTAGGCATGCATGCTAGTAGTTCAGCGCACGCTAGTAGTTCATTGCGATAGGAGGTCAAGGACACACGAGTGCGCTCACAGGTCTGAGAAGGTGCAACTGCTGAAGGACATTTTGACCGCCAAGCAATCTACTGGCGAGCCAGATAGCAACACGCATGTTAACGCGCCCGCGGAAGACGTTTGCTCGAGCTGACACGCTGCTGCTGGGCGAAGGCGACCCAGAGGCAGAGGGTGCTTCTGCTGAGAGTCGTTGGCCCCCCCACCCAGAAGTACCAAAATCATCGTTGAAACGTTGGACCACGTGGCGGACTCTTCAAAAGGACTAACGGCTAATTGCGCACCTCTTCACACGCGCACACCGTACTCACCTATGACGCCCAACACGCGCAGGAAGAACCAGGCCTCGCGGCCGAGGCCTGCGCCGAGCTGTGTAATTAGATGGCTTGCCAGTACTAGTCTCCCTTGACAGGACATGACCAGCGACGTTGATGGCGCTGCAGAGGTCTGCAACTCAATGGTGACCGGTTTCGACTCTTCGGGTTGCCCCAAAGCTGCAACCTTGCAGGGCTCGGTTGGGGAGCCACATCAACAGGGTCAGGCGCTGCTCTCTTCCGTGATGTGGCTAGTAGCGGTAGACCGACTTCTGTGTTGTTGCGGAATCTCTAGTGGCGTAGCGCGGCGCATGCTTGCTGGCAGGTTTCTGGACACGAGCAGGAAGAGCCCGGAAACGACCAGGAGAATCTCAAGGAGGACGCGAGCGCAGTTTTTCGCAACATCTTTTAAACAACGACTGCCACATCTTCGGAAAGTGCGCGTTTCCAGGATGAAGTCTTGGGTCGTGCCGGGAGCGATGATGAGGCCCACGGTCCTGTCACGTTGCGTGCTTAGCTCATCACTCTCTGATCTGACAGGCAAATGTCGTTGAGGGTGATGAGAACCTGGAATCCAACCAGCCCAACGCAGAGGCCCGGTTTTCGAGCTTGCCGGCCAACTTGCAAGTACCGCTGTGTTCGAATTCACTTTGCAAACATCGCCATCAATACCCAACAACGTCCGCAGCATTGCCAGCGTCCCGCAAGTGGTTGGAGAGAGGGAGATTGAATCAGCGAGAATGATAACAGAGTTGAAGCGTGCGAAGAACCCCCATGGGCCATGCATGACCCCTCATCTTATTTGCGAAGATTCAGAAAACGCATTACTATCCAGTTGAAACTTGTTGGCCGTGCCTCCCGTGCCTCCTGGCAGGCAGATGCCCACCACGCGCACGAAGGTGCAACTCCTGCAGAGCCCAACGAAGAGGCCAGAGTTCAATTCCAGACAATCTGTTGGAAGCCTCTTTCTTCCCAATGGGGCGTATTAGTTGGCTTGATTTATGATCTCATGGTTCTACGATCAGTTGGAACTTGACCGATCAATTTCTGCCACCTGGGAGGCTGAAGCATTTATGGGCCTTGGGGGTTTGCTTGTCTGTTTATGGGAGCTTTTGTCCCATGACTCGCAAACTATTCTTCCAGCCATGTTCCACCCAAGTCGTGCGCATCAGCTATTCTCTTGCCTGCAGGCGGATGATGAACCTGCCTTCGCATCTGGAGAGACCTGCGAAGAGGCCAGGAGTCCTGCAGGATCGGAGATTGTTCATGCGTACGTATGCTGCGAATGTGTTACCCGGAACAATGCTCAATTTCGGATTCATCCGTTGCATGATGAACTCCAAGTGGCAGGCGGATGGTGAACCAGCTGCCGGCGACTCTGGAGAGCCCAACGAAGAGGCCAGCTTTGTTTCCATGAAGATTTAACTCATTGCAATTGTAATTATGTAAGGACACAAAGTTGAAAAATAACCGCTTTCATTTACAGCTGGCTGCACGATTAAGTCTTGCATGTTGGCAGGCAGATGGTGAAACTGCTGGCGAATTTGGAGAGCCCAACGAAGAGGCCTGGATCCGTGGAAAATTCTACTTACTTGAAAGGCGGACTTGATCCGCGCAATGCTTGATTCATCCCCGCAATGCTTGATCCCCGCACGCGCGCAATGTTTGTTTGAGCGCGCAGGCTGCCATCCCTGACAACGAACCCGTTGCCGAACCTGAAGATCTCAGCAAGAAGGCCGGGGCCAGTTTCCGCTTTATTGTCCAGTCCGTTTAAAGACCGGCCATGGGATTAGACCCAACATCCACGCTTGATCACCATGAGCCATTGGAAGCTTGCGTGTCGTGCCAGGATTGCGAACTTGCTCTTGGATTTGAAGAACCCAACGCAGAATAAGGGCTTATCCGCGGACCCATGTCGCAGAAAGACTGCTGTACCAAGAAGCTTTGAATATTCGATACCAGTTGTCACAATTTGTTTGGTTAGCTGAGAAGTTACAGTTGTGCCGGGCACCTGCTAGCAGGTGGCTGCTCGCCATGCTGAACCTGGTGCTGAACCTGAAAATAAACAAGAGGCCAGGAGCTTGTCTACACGTGTTTGACTCTATAGATGCTCAATCCCAAATCGCGAAGCAAAATAGTTCAGGTTACATCTTTGCACAATTGTCGGATCTAGCCATCCCAAACCCTGCACCCAGCTGTCCTGACCTCATCCCAAGAGTCCTCGAACCCAGCACAGCGGTCGGCTTGCTGCAGCGAGCACCTGCCAGGATACCGAACATGGTGTTGACCCATCCAAGCAAAAGGCGCGACAGTTGTTTGGTTTCCGTTTTCCAGAACATATATAATATGATATGCCTGGCGAAGCAAAGTACCACACTGGCAGGCCAAAGCTGATGAGCCGCCTGCTCAAGACAAGGAGCCAGCCGTGGAGGCAGTTTTGCAGCGCGCGCGCAGTGGACTTCAATCGGCTTAAGCCACTAGGCATTTGTTTTTTTGGCCCGAGCAAATCAAGAGAAGCGAGCGGAACCTGCTGGCGTATAGCGTCTTGTGGCCCATTGAACTTTGCTCAGGTTGGAGTTGCAGCGGAGGCGCAGTCCAGCGACAAGGCGGGCACAGCGCGTCAACCCAGAAAACCCGCCCGCCAGCGAGTTCAATTTAAGTCGCGTTGACAGATCTGCTCTGCTGAGCTGGCAGGGCAGTCTGAACAAGTCTGACGAGAACGAGGCGGGGTGCCTGATGGTTGGGCAAAAGACTTGAAACCACCGGGCCGCAACAACGCTATCTAGGTTTGCTCGCCCTGCTGCGTAAGAACAAGTGAAGCGGACACTGGGCCTTAAGTTCATGCATATGCGTTGTCACTTTTGCACCGTCGTGGCGTGCGAGTTGTCACTTTGCGTACGCACGCGTTTGCGTGCCAAGCCCATCGCTCAAGGACCGGAAGCCCTTGCTCAAACACTGCTTTGATTTGAACGAGATGCTTTCCTTGCTGACGATTCAGGAGATTGTTGCGCAAGATGATGTGCTGAAGTCTCAGGCCAACATGCGTGCAGCTCAGAGCATTTTGCAATTCACACAGGCCTGCCTTCTTCAAAACATGCTAGGTATCTTGCTTTGCTGGCCCCAAGGCGGAGCAATGCTCGCCAAGGGGGTCATGAAGATGCGCGCGACTGCGACGGCGACCCGCTGCAGAAGCAACCCTCGGAACAAGGATGCGGTCGTAGCAAAGGTCGCGGCGCAGGCCGTGGCAAGGGCCGAGG